AGTTTGCCTTAGTTTGCCGATATTTTTAATAATTTAGGTTTTTATCGGTCAAAATTCAGATGAATGTTTGCACAAAAATTTGCTTGTTTTATAATTTGAAAATTCCCTTGTCTACTGAATTGTTGAATTACTAAAAATATCGGCCATGGTTTGAACTTTGAGCAATTAAATAAATATAAAATTAATAGTAAGCAATATATATTAATATCAATATATAATCATTAAACATTGATATTTATATTTTCATTTATAATGGTTTTTTTCGGAACTAGTTCTTCGATTAGAAGACTTTGGGATTCTATCGCCAATCGCTGGATTATTTTTGCTACCCCAGCTATGGTCACACATTTCTTACAGACACACACACACCCTTGCCCTCTCCTCCGACCCACCCACACACACACACGCTCACACACACGTAGCGGGCACGAAAACAATTATTTTTCATCGCTGGCGATTAGTGGAAATTAGATCGCATTGGAACCATGTCAACGGCTGGCAGATCGGACGACGATCCTGGCCAGAGTTCGGCCGTGGAACAGAGCACCGTTATGGCGCCGGACCCCGGCCCCTCAACGCCAGCGGTGTCCGAAATAGCCGCCTCCAGTGTGAGTTTCGATTCGTGGAGATTCTTTGCCTTCATTTTGCTGACGACGACGGAAGACACGTCAACTTCTCAGCGGTTTTTTTGTTTACTTTTTGGGCCCCGGGCTAATGATAGTAATGTTAATTGATTGCTAACCATGTTAGATACGCTCTGGACTGGCGGAGCTGGAGCTGCGCTCCTCGCAGGTGCTGCAGCGCTTGGAGAACGTAAAGGTATCCACGCCCGAACTGGCCCGGGACTCGCCGGAGGAAGAGGAGCAGCAACAGCAGCAGCAGCAGAAAGCAAGGCCGGAGGACTACCTGCTGCCGGCGGAGCACCGTGTGCCCTCGGACATCCTCAAGTCGCTGGAGCAACTGGTCTCCTACACGGACAGCGACGATGACCCGGAGTTTCCGCTGCCCGCCCTGGACGACGTCTCCCACTTGGCGCTCATCTCGCACAGCATTGTGGCGTATCTGTCGCACCTCGATCGGCAGCAGTTGCTCCGTGTGACGAACAGTATTTCAGGCGACGCCACCCGCTGGCTGGGAACCTTGTTCCATTTCAGCAACCCGGCCAGCAGCTTCCATGCGGACAATGCGGACGCCGTTCTGCGTACAGTGCGCCTGGCCATAGTCGCACGCTGCCCTGGCTATCTAGAGGGCGGCATTCCGGCCCTGGCCCTGCCCACGTTCTACATCTCGGAGAATACGACGCCGGTGAGACTGCAGTATGCGTGCCGGCAGCTGGGGATTCCGCTGGAGGCCATCAAGATCATACCCGAGCACAGCCAGAACGGCACCATGGACGTGACGCTGCTGCAGAAGCAGATTCAGCTGGATGTGAGCAACAACCGGACGCCCCTGCTGGTAGTGGCCGACATTGGAGCCTCGCTCTGCGGCTATGTGGATAATTTGCTCCGTCTGCGGGACGTTTGCAAGGCGCACAACATGTGGCTGCATGCCAGCGGCCATGGGCTGGCCGCCCTGGTCTGTGCCCAGAGTCAGGGCCACGTGGAGGAGGTGCTCCACTCGATGGCCCTCAATTTGGGCAGCTGGCTGGGCGTGCCCAGCTTGCCTATCGTCCTGCTGCACCGTCCGCTGCAGAATAGCGCGCTGAGTGCCTTCGAATCCGATCCGATCCTGTCCCGGCGCCTCAACGCGCTGAGCCTGTGGACCAGCCTGCAGGCCTTGGGCAGAAAGGCCATTGCGGAGCGCCTGCATGTGGCGTTTCAGACGTGCAGTATTCTCTTCGAGATTGCCTCCAAGTGCGAAGGCATCAGGGTACTGGTGAGTGCTTAACTAACATTGATATATAAGACATGATTTCGATTTATTGCTTAACGATATACGGTTAATTTAGAGTCACACGCCTGGAGCGCAGACCGGAGCCACATTGTCGGATATCATTCCGAGCCCCTTCGATGTACAGGCCTTGTTTGATGCCGCCGCTCCCGTAGTGGCCTATCAGTTTGATGGCAGTACCACCATTCCATTAGGGGGCAGTAGCTCCTCCGCCGCCGCCGTCGCCGCTGCTACTGCTGAGCGGGAGACAGCCGACGGTCTGAAGCCGCTGGAGAAGGTCTACAATGCTTCCTACTTCGATCGCCTCAACTCCTGGCTGGGTCAGATTCTTCAGCGCGACTGTCCAAATGTAAGTAAAAAGAATTGAAAAATAACGCTTTTAAATATAACAAATATCGATCTATACCCCAATTGCAACGTTAAGAAATCGATTTAATATCGCTCCAAATATCGATTCAGTATCGATGCATCCCTACTTTATACTGTAAACATATTTTTGAATACTCTTCCAGTTTGACTTTGAGGTGATTGAACACCCAACGCACGGCAGCTGCATCCGCTACTGTCCCCTGGAATTGGGACTGGGCGAGCAGCCGCCAAGCTCAGAAAATCTGGAGAGCTTCGCTCAGAGCCTAGAGGCGCATGTGGACATTTTACGTGCGACAATCAAGCACAAGGCGCGATTCATTCACTTGGTCGAGCGCAGCGATGTCCTGCGCCTCGTCTCACTGCCCGAATGGGCGGGCATGGGCGGTGTTCGATTCGTACCCGAGGGATGGGAGGCCCTGCTTACGGATCAGGCCAAAACGGAGCTAAATAAGCTAAATATCGATTTGGTGGAGGCCCTGAAGTCCACGGATAATGCCTTCTCCCTGGGCGAGGGCACCGATGGCTTGATTTGTGTGCGATTCGGCATGGTCACCCACGAAACGGAGGTGGAGGAGCTGCTTGACCTGGTTGTTACCGTGGGCAAGAGTGTGCAGGAGAATTCGCGTGTTCTGGACACAATGTCGGAGATCGTCAAGAAGGTCAGTGGGCCAAGCTCCCTTTTTGGCTCTTGCTTATTTTTTGTAATATAACTTCAGGGCATCGAAGCCGTCACAGCGGATCTGCAGCGCGAATCGGAGGAGAAGCTCTGGCAGGAGGGCATCCTTCGCCATGTGCCCGTTGTGGGACGTGTCTTCAACTGGTGGTCACCGCCAGCCAAGGAGTCGGGCATTAAGGGACGCAGCCTCAATCTCACGCAGGGCGTGGTCGAGAGCACAGAGAACATTTACAAGTGAGCTAAAGATATGGCAGAAGCCAGAAAAGTCTTTTAACCTTCTCATTCGCCCTGATTTTAAGGTACCACATGCAGATGACCGGAGCCACTGCCCATCAATTGCCGGCGAATCGTTCGCCACCAACGCCCATGGTGCAGACGCCCGTTGGGGCAGCAACGCCAGCGGCAGGTCCTGTCTTCCCTACGGTGGAGCCAGTGTCTGTGCCCGGTTCGGGTGATGAGACGTCCGAGCAGCCGGCGGCCGCGCAAAACCATGTGGATCACGCTCGAACCGTGAGCCAGAGCAGTGCGTCCAGCGTTCCGGAGCTGGTTGCCGCCGCCAACAGTGCAATTAACAATAATTAGCAACAAAAAAAGTAAAAGAAAACCGCCCCTAAATCCCTAGATGACAAAAAAAAGAGCAGATAAACTTAATAGATCAAAAGGCACAGCCAGCAAAAATGGACTTCGGGGGAGAGTCCGAATCCAAGAGAAAGCAAAATAAAATAAAAAAACGAAATTCCAAAGAAGAAAATATGGTTCACCTGAGAGAAAAAATGATGATAGTAACGGAAAACCCAATTGAATTGCTTTTATGTATTTATACATATATATTTATATTCCTATGATCTTTTTTTATATATATTTATATATACACATATATTATATTATGTTATCCTTATAACTTAATCCCCTTACTGTTGTCTCTTAGCCCGAAAGAAAAATTAAGCAAAAGCTTCGTTTCTGTAACATTTTCCCCTTTTTATTTTTCGTTTCTGTATTTATTAATCAGATGCAAGTACCTTTGAGAAAGTTATATATACAATATATGTATATATACATGCATATATGTATATTAAATAGGCAATTGTTCGATGTTCAATTGTGCAAAGCAATAAATTGCGCTATTCTTATTTTTAAAGAAGCTAAGTGAAAAAAAATATTAAGAAATTAAATAACAAAAGTATATAATTAAATGACAAAAAATATATATATTTATTTTACAAATTGCTGCTGTATAAGGAAACGAAAATCTGCACAAAATCTGATAAAAGAAAAAAAAAACAAGCATTAATAAAATGTAAAGTAATTTAGACAGAGATGCAAAGCTATTTTTCTATATGCGTACCTCTCATTTTCAGTTTATCGTTTTTTGCTTAGCCTACATTTATTACGTGTTTCCTTAAAAAAAAAAAAAAAACAATCACGTTGGTAAGTATTTTACTGGTTAATAATTAGAACTTTTCCGCAAGTTTATAATCTAACAACTTAATAAAAACATAGAAAAGTTGTATAGAATGGAGGGTTTTTCCTAGCGTACTATTATATCATTAATCATCATTGCCTGGCGAGTCTATCTGACATCTGACGATCTACCCCGTTGAGTGAATGACATTAGTAATCCAAAACTATCGCAAAATGTTCGGATACACACTCAAAAACGATACAAAATTGAAAGCGTTGACTAAAGCAGAGCTCTTACCCTTTATGTCCAGTTTTAGACCCCTTTTGCGATAGTTTTGCGATGCTTATATTTAAATTGTCTCGCCATAACTTAGGATGAGAGGCTCGCAGATGATCCGTTTTTGATTCGTTTTGATTTTTAAATTCTAAAAAAGATAGAAGCACTGCAGAGTCTGGGCTAAGAAATTTTGTAATCAGGAGAGATAAAAAGAATTGATTTATAAATATATAACCTTAGTAATCTGAAGTAAATTCAAGTTTCTATTTAAGAGGTAAACGAACAACATACCTGAAAGCTGTACTAACCTCTTATGAGATTTCTCCCATTAAAACAAAAAATGAAATCATATAAAATAAGAAACTGTTATCCATCCAACAAATGCAATTTTTATAGTTTTATTTTATTTTTATTTAATATTTTGTTGGGATCTTTAGCGTTTTACTTTGCCGCCTTTTGCTTTTGAAAGAAACTTCCCCAATTCGTTATGTTGCACTTCTTTCTTTATCGTTTTCATTTCCGTTTTATATTATGCGCATAAAATATTCTTGCATTCCAGAAATATATTTCTTCCCTCCAGTATCGGAACCGAAATTCCCGCCAAATAGAGTTGGGCCAAAGGGGTTCAAGGTTTCTGGAACGCGCACACTCACTTATTTAGTACATTTCTGTGTTTTTTTTTTGTTTTTCTTACAAGGTTTTTTGTTTAAACTGTTCTTACATTTTTTGTTGTTTTTTTTTTTAAATATTTTTTTTTGTTTATTAATATTTGTTTTGTTTTAGAATTCATTTCTGTTGTTGTTTTTCTACCTTTACTTGTTTTCAATATGCCACTAAGCGCTTCGATTGTTCGCCTCTCTTCTTTACATTTTCTTTAACTATATCGGTATGCATATATATACTATATATTTATATATATGTATATGTTGTACAACTCATTCTTATCTTGCATTATTGCTGCAGCCGTTGAGCTTTTCGAAAAAAATGTTGCAAATTTCGATTCCACCATCTTGTTTTTTTTTTTTTGTTTTTTGGATTTCTTTGTGTATTAACTTTTGTAATCTTCTGTTTTGTTATTTTTTTGTGGTTTTTGTTTTTGTAATAACTACAACGCGTACGATGACAACATTTAACACAGAAATATATTTACGAACTAATTGTGTTATATTTATGATGTATTTTTTATTATTTATTTGTATAAATAGAGAGCTTCGATCTAGGCTCGAATCTTTCGTGACCCAAAATTCATCTCCTAATGGGGTATTTTGTGTTTGGATTTTCCAATGCAATTTTCTTCGTTTTTATACTGATTTACTTAGGAAGGGAGCGTGTTGTTCATGTGCTATTAATCCTTAAAGGATTCTCAACCCCTTGAGGAGGATTTTAATATTTTTTTGTTTTTCAGTTTTTATTGTATAACTTGTAATTAATTAATATAAGCGAATAAAAAACTTGATTAGTTTGTTCGGTTTGTCTCTTTACACGATCTATACATATTTACTTGTTTTAAAAATGTCCCGTCTTTTTACGCTCTACGATTATTGAGTTATTTCGATTTGAGTACTCGATTGTTATTTTATATCTTACAATTGATCATTTCAATGTGCGTCGTATTTGGGGAGATAGTACCATCAAAGACAAAATAATAAAAAGATGCGTAACTCCACACGTATTTAAAAGGATTCTAGTTCTAGGCTGCCTATTATATTTATAGATTTTGAACGCTTGAAGCAACATTGCTTGCATTTGGCAGCTCAAACGTATGCGCGTTACGCATCTTATTGTTTTATTGCCTTTGGCACGATCTAGTTTCGGGTTTCGTTTCCTTTATATAGCTAAATTTGGTAAATGTTGAGAACTTTCGCTGTCGGTTGGGCAGTGCTCGGATTTTAATTAGTTGATTGGCCTTCTACATCGTGTCTGTTTCTATCTCTAACTCTCTCTCATCCAAAATTGGCCTCTGGCTTACATTTCCGTTGTCATTCGAAATTTCTCTAAAAATGCATGGTTTTTGAATCTTTCAATTGTTTTCCTTGGTGTTTTGCAGCAGTATATATATATAAATATATATATATAGTTTTTTCAATAGGTTTATGTATCTTGTATATAACTATTATTCAATACCTTGTATATAACTATGTGTATATATGTATATCGCGTCGTGTATACCTCTATATATAACTTTTGTAGTTGTCGGTTCCCATTTTTGTCGGTTGTGTTTACTATTTTTGGGGGCAGTACTTTTGTGTTGCTTAGTTTCCATATTGCTCTCGGTTCCATATGCCAAGTCGGTATATTCGGTTATTTCGGTTTTATGCTATATATGCCTATGCCTTCCCTTCAGTACCAAACCTCAGGAATTTAAGCCATTTCGGAAGGAGTTCCCGAGGATTTTCGGAAGGAATTTGTTCAGAGCAAGACTATAAAATCAGGAATTCAAAGTTCCTGAGGAATTCCTTAGGTATTTCCTGCGGAGTTCTCTAGGAAGTTCCCTAGGAATTCTTCAGGAATTCCTTCAGAACATTCCTAATTTCGAAAGCTGAACGGAATTTTGAAATAAGTTCAGCCGGAATTCATAGGGATTTCGCCAGGAACAACTTTGTGAAAAACTCGACAGTAGCTACACGGGAAAAGTTTTCCTTAAGGAATTCTGGTACTGCAGGGTTGCTTTCGTTTAGCTACTAAATATACAGTTAGCACTCTAATCGTCTCTCGTCGTTTGCTTATGTTAGTGTTAAATAAATGCATTCCATGTTAAGCTTAGGTTTTAGATAAACAATAAGATGCAGGCTCAAATCGAATGGTCAAATCGAATTGGTCAATCGATTGAGCCCGCCAGTCCCGGACGATCCCTATATGTATATTTGGATTTCAGATCGTCCGCAGCACAACCCAGACCCAGGACAGAGTCGAGCACTAAACGGGTTGGATCCAATCTGAATGGCCGTCGATCCGGGGTAGTGTGGCAACGTGCCCAAGTAGAGTATATGAGGAACTTAATGATAGCAGTTCTTTATTAACATATATATATATAATTTTTTTTTTTGCAAGTAATCATTAACTAATGCGGGAGGTCGGTTCTTTTTGATTTTCTTACAAAATAAAGCAAGGAAACCTGCACTTTTAAGGATTTATATGCAGTTGCAATCAGTCAGGAACTTAAACCATAAGAAATAACTTTAGGCAGGAGAAGGAATTAAAAGTGAGTGTAAAAAAGAGTTGTCAATATCTACATGTTTTTAGCTACAATATTGTGTTTGGTTCCAAGTTGAATATTAAAACAATTGTTGAACTAAGACCATGCCACGCCCCATCTGCACACGGCCATTCAGTTGCCCGTTGTTGTCTATATAAAAAAATTGACTCTCGAAAAATGTGTCTTAAAAATTCTTCTCTAACGTTTTTCTACTACATTCTATAACTTATGGGCTACGATCCATCCTAAACACGAATTTCCGCTTTGGTGGTTGGTTAGTTGTAGGTTCAAGTTCCATTTCGTTTCGATTTCCAGTTGGTTGCAGGGGATACACAATTTTAAATACCTATATATACGTATATAATAATATATATAAGTAATATTTTTGGTAATTAAAAAAAAAATTGTTTCGTTTTGACAATTTCTTTTTGTTTAGCTTTAAAAGTGGTACAAATATGCTATTATCAAAAAGGAATAACCGTGTCCTAAATGGATATAAGTATATATGTATAATGTTTTATAAGTAAATAGATCGCTGATACATGTATAATATATGGTACACGAGTCACGTCCGTCGGTCTGCGTCGTCTGTGGCTGTGTGTGTGTGTGCTTCACTATATCCTCGAAGAGTCCCAGATATAGGTTTGTATTATGTACAAAAGTCGAAGAGCAGGATTCCGGATCTAGGATACGATTACGATACGGTACGATACGATACGATACGCAAAATGCAACAAATCGAGAAGGAACACTCGCCGCCATCCCAACAAGGCCCAAGTCCATTGCCTATCATACACGAGAATTCTAGGAAGACTCCATCTACATCTCCAAACCCAGGTCCGTCAGGTTCGACCAATTCCTGCGGAATATCCTTACAGCTTGCTGGTGCCATCTTACAGCTCCGTGACCGCATAGTTGCTCTCGTCGGTTATCGCTGGCGGCGGCGGCGGTAGATCATCATCGTCGTCCACCGCTCCACCGCTGCTGGTCACGCCTCCTCCGCCTCCTCCACCGGCTCCGTTGTGCAGGATCTTGCCATTGGCCGCCCCCGGTCCCATTCGACCTTTGACCGCATCCGCCTGCGCCTCCAGAGGCGGCGGTGGCAGCGAAGTGTCCTCATTGGCAGTATTTCCGGCACCTCCTGCTCCGCCTTGGCCTCCTCCTCCTCCTCCATTCTGAAGGCCAGCCGGCACTATTCCGATGGCATCGTTCAGCGGCTGGGTGGCGGGCGGCGGCGGGGAAGTGGGCGTACCAATGCGTGGCGGCGGAATCGCCTTCATCTGCGGCGGCAGCTTCATTGGCGGACGCTGCAGGGTTCTAAATGGAGGAGGTCAGAGTTGCATTGGATAGTGTTTGTAGAAATTTCAAATTTTAGTTCAGCGGATCAAAAACTATCGGAAAACTATATTCCCGTTTTTGGTTAAAAATAATCAAACGGAAGTTAGGAAATAAGAAACCGAAAACCGAAACCGGAATAATGCAGATCTTCTAAGCTTAAACTTAATTCAAAAGTATTTATAAAGATCAAAGGAAGTTAAGAAACAAGAAAATAAACAACTAAGACAATATAGTAAAAGGATGCGTGATACTGATACCCAGATACCGCTTGAAACCCGCAAAACTATCGTTTTGAATATCATAAACGAACTTTTTTGTCTCGGTTAGTCTATTTTACTTAAAAAAATAATAAGAAATAAAAAAATAAGATCATGTTTGAGGCAACACCTACTTGGAGTAATTCTGGTGCTGGGCCTGTTGCTGCTGATAGATGGACTCCACCTTGGGCTGCTCCGCATCCTTGGGGATCTCGGGCAGGGGGCAGTTCAGGATCGAGGGCTTGTACTTGGGATCGAATTTGCCGCCCTGCCTGAGGGTGGAGCACTTGTAGATCTGCTTGTCGCGATCATAAATGGCGCTATCCATTGCCGTGCTAATGGGAATGACATCCGATTCCGGTTGCGGTTGCTGCTGATGGTGGTGCTGCTGCTGTTGTTGGTGATGCTGTTGCTGCTGGTGGTGCTGGAGCTGCTGTTGGTGTTGCTGAGGTGACTTCAACTGATGCAGCTGCTGCTGCTGCTGCGACGGAGGCGGTGGCTGTTGCTGCTGCTGCTGCTGTAGAATCGGCGGGTGCTGGTGCGCCGGAATCTGGGGACCGCCCTGGCTATTCTGTCTTCGCATTGTGGCCAAGTTCGAAACATAAATGGAGCCCTGGCTAACGGCAACTAGGGGCTGGTAAATGGAGTGCGGATTCCCATTGGCCGCCAGTTGCGGGGCCAGGTGAGCCGGTATCTGCTGGTAGATCTGGCTCTGACCCGATCCCAAATGGTGTGGCGCATGGTGGGCCGCCGTTGTGTACGTGCCATACTGCTGCGCCTGCGCCTGCTGCTGGTGGTAGATCGCATGCTGATGTTGCACTGCAGCGGCTACGGCGGCGGCCGAGTGCGAATGCGGATGCTGGTGGGGATGCGGGTGTGGATGCGGATGCTGGTGCGGATGGTGGCAATATATCGGCTGGGGACCTCCCATCTGCTGTTGCTGCTGCTGCTGCTGCTGCGCCTGCTGTTGCTGTTGCTGCTGTTGTTGCTGCTGCTGCTGTTGGGCGGCCTGCGTCGTCGGCGGAAGATTGGCGGCGACGTTGGCTGCTGCTCCTGCTGCGGAAGGTGGCGACGATTTTCAGTAAAAGTCATTGGCTTCCAATGTCTTGCATTGTTTGCTTAGGGTTGCATATTTACCATTATTGGGACCTACAAGAATGCACACACACAGGTAATAATTAGCAATAGGCGGGTTGGACGGAGGATGTGGGTTGGATGAGGAGGCAGGATGCAGGATGCAGGTGCGAATTCAATATGCAGGTTGACGCAACGGTGGAACGATGGTGGCAATGGTGGATGGGCGCAGGCATTATTAGCATGGAATGAGATTATATAATATAAACATATATTGATGGGAGCAAATTGAGCGAATTGGCAGAAGTTTTACTTTATTCAAAATTAATTAAAAAATATATTTATTTGCTATGTACTCATTGATGTCCAAGCAGCTAAACGCTGTAAATATCTTATTCAATGTGGATCCCAAATGAACCAGCTTAAAATTGATTTGCGAATCACACGTGTAGGTTCTTAATGGTATATATTATATATAATTTTTAAGTTTAACCCACTAAACATACAATTTTTTAACTCTTGAAGGTCAATTGAACAATACTCATTGGTTTTAATTAAGTAAACAAATATTAACTAGGATTCAGACCAATTCGATCTCAATTCGATATGAACACAAGGATTGATATAGAGATGTACGCGTACACTGTGAGAAAAAATGTATGCCATACACTTAAAACTGAAAATTGTATTGTAAAATAGATTTCCTATCCAAATGCAGGGATCGCAAATAGTAGTTTTTAGTGAAATGAAAATCAACACAAAAAATGAATGAAAAAATTATGTATATCGTTTAATTTGAAAGATAAAGCTTATTATTATTATTTTTTTTGTTTTTTTTTTTTTTAAACTAGTATTACAAGTTGTATTATTTTCGTAAGTTTTAATATGAAGTGAAGCTTCTTAGCTCTTTAATTTCTAAGTTCTTGAATTTTGTATCTAAACGTATTCAGGAACTGGCAGGCATTTTTCTCCTAGTGCACGCATAGAGAAGAAAAAGGTGGACGTGTTCTTGGACATGGGTGTGGGCGCTGCCCCAGTGGGACACACTGCGACCCCAAGACTTACCAGTCATGTGGGTGGGGCTGTGGTTGTGCGAGGGCAGCCGGCCCAGCGTGTGGGTGCCCATGGCGCGCATGTTTTGCTGGATGTGGGCGTGGGCCATCATCTCGTGCTGCTGCCGCTTGCTGGGATGCTGCAGCGTGTGCGAGCCGCTGATGACCGGCGGACTGAAGTGCCTGGAAATCAGATGCCGGCGGCAGGCGACAAAAAAAAGAGAAACAGAAAGAAAGGGGACGAGAGAGAAGAGAGAGAGAGAGAGCGAGAGAATGGAGGCGGGAATCGGGCGGGACGGGTCACAGTGGGATCTTTAAAAACATACCCATTGTGGTTGCGGGGCAGCGTCCTAGCGGCATTCATCATCTGCTGGTGATTCTGCGGTGCCGGATGCGATATGTACGATGGCTCGTCCACCTGGGCATAGTCATTCCGCTTCCGGATATAGATCCAAGTGTGCGAGTCCACCCACACCATAATGGTCAGCAGTATGGCGGCTATGAAGCTGGCTATAAGCATCAGCACCAGTCCCAGCAATCCGCCCTCGCACAGCCCTCGGGCGGCGGCTAAAAAGTTGTGGTGCACCGCCTTGCAATCCACGAGGGCCGTCAACTGGGTCAGCAGTCTCTCGCTGCTATTCAGATCCGCATTTACAGCCCCCAATTTTGGCTGCAGCCCGGAGGACTTGAACAGCACCAGGGAGATCTTCATCACGGTTGCCATGGCGCTCCGGGCGTTGTTCAGCGAGTTCTGTGATTCCCTCAGTCGCTGCGTGAAAGGATTCGTGTGACCCGGCTCGCATTGGGTATAGTGGAGCAGCACATTGGTGGGCAAATCCCGGGGAGCGGTGGACACCAGAAAATCCGCAGGGGAGATGCACAGATCGCCGACAGCCACCGAAGAGGACAGATATAAGCCGGACATCAGCCAGGAACCAGTTACGGCCAGCAAACCGCAGACGCTGAACAGGATCAGGGCGCAGCGTGAGTGCCGGGCAACGCCCACTAGGAGAACGGCACATAGGACAAGAAGAAGCGCCAGAGTGGCCACCGTGCCTGGCCAGCGTATCAGCTCCCATTGGTCACCGCGCTGTAAAAATAAATGTTTAACGTCTTTAGAATGAATTTATACGCAAAATAAAGGCATAACATATTTTTTTTTATTTAAAAAATAATAAATTTTTAATTTTTTTATCTATTAAGATCTTATTTATATTTATTTATTTTTATTTCGTCAAGAAAATAGCTTGAATTGAGCCACTCTTACCGTCAGGAAGTGTGTCATGGAGATGCCCATTAGGGGTCGTCGAATATCACTGGCCGCGTTCGTGGCCAAGGTAACATTTCCCTGGACAATGTTGAGCGAAACAAAGAGCTTGGAGAGCGCCGTCTGATTGGACACTGGTTGGTCAAAGATGTCTGCCAGCTCTACCAGCTGCGGGCGAATACGGTTCGTCAGGGTGTTCTCCAGGATGTGCGTTTGATTCCGTATGGTGGTCACCAAATTGTCCACCTTTCTGCCCGCAGTAAGTACCTCCAGCAGTCCGTTGTGCAGATCATCATTGCCATACAATCCTAATCCGATGGCCGCACAGCACATAACCGTGACTATGGAGAGAGCCACCTTCAGGCTGGTGATCGAGTGAGCTGGTCGCGGTTTCCGGTCGCAGCAGCGGGTCATCAGATAGAAAAGCAGTCCCAGCAGCGACACAATAAGCAGGGCGGCCGGAACCGAACCCAAAATGCCCAAACTCTGTAGGCGAAATCGAGTGAAAAATTTGAAATGGGTTTTTTTTTAATAAATTATATAAGCTATAGCCCTTATATTATTTTTAATAATTTAAAAAAAATATATATAGATGTATGTTTTCTATTTCTATAATCCAAGTCAGTGATATATGTATGTAACTTACCTCCAGGTAGATCTCATCGTTGGGCCGGAACGTGCTGTTGATCTTGTGGAACGTGATGTTGTAGTGGGGCAGGGCATGGAGTAGCTTCGCTATCACCGGCACCTTGTACTGGTCCGTGAACTCGTGATAGTCACCCATCCTCTCCTAGTTTCTTCGCCGTCCGTCGTCTGTGCCCTGGACCGTGTTGTATGTCTCGACTTTATTATCCTTTGTTGTTCCTGGTGGATTTTCCTTCCCTCGCCACAGCTGTGCGTCTTCCTGCTACGTGCTCACGGGCCTAAGTTTCCTAAGCTCTTGACACCAAATCTAAATTGCTGTGCACTGTGATTAAGGGGTAAAAAAAGGGTGAGAAACGGCTATTAATCATCACCAAAAGTACGTTTACTTTTTAAATTAAATTGCACTTTCTTAGCTGAGAATATTACAGAAATTAGGTCTCTTCAGAGGGTAAATATATTTTTCCACATTTTTTTTATTTTTGATATTGCGGTAGGGTATTGCAATAACAAATACACCCTGAACTGATTGACTATCCTGTAATGGGTACTCGTCGTGAGCCCTCAAAAATATGCAAAAGTATGCATTCTTTGCTTCCTCTTCTTTTTCCTTTGGTGATCAGCGATTTTAACCCCACTTTCTCACGCACACACTCCGAATAACGGTTCTGCATATATGTATATGTATACACACACACATACAGAGAAAGACGTATATACATATGTGGGTGTGCATGCGTGGGCATGGCCTTAATTGCTCAATAAGTAGGTTGTACCCACTTTCAGGCACTATTTAATTGAAGAATATTTACGGACCACTGAAAATGGCATTGCATTTTGAATTGCTTTGCCGCCGCCGGCGCCGCTGAGATTTACATATATTTAATTAAGTATGTTTGAGCGTTTTTCGTTTTCGTTTTTGGATTTTATTTTATTTTATATTGACGGATGCTGCCCAGCGCAATAGAAACTTTGTTCACTTGTCTTCCTCTTCTCGCTTCGTCCAGTGCAACAACAAGGAGAGCGAGAGTAACGGTAACTGTTAAGCTCGCGCTCTCACGCTCATGCGCGCGCTCTCTCTCCCTCGCTCTTGCTGTTAGTGCGTTTGTATATCTATTGATTAAAAGTTCGCTCTGCTGCGCCCACTTTCCGCCTTCCGCCTTCGGGCTGGCTGCCCCTTGATGTTACCACCTTTTTCCCACCAACCACCCACCACCACTGTCTCTTTCGCACACCCACACCGAACTGCAGCATTTTGTACTACTACAAATGCAACAATAATACCCACACGCTCGCACAGAATAACGGCATAAATTAAATTCGCCAACTCTTTGGCACAAATTTTAGTGAAGAACGCCAACAAAAACACTCCCTTTTTCCGGGTACACACAATTTTTCAGAACAAACAAAGCTCCTTTCTGGCACTTAAAAAACCCCTATCGCGATTATTCGAAATAATTACTTTTTGCAGCACACTTTAGTTGATAAACTTTGACCTCGTCGTCACAATCATTCGTTTTGTTTTTGCATCTCAATTAAAACAGTTTGTGTTGGCTTCCTTTGTTTGTTTAGGTTTTCAATTTCAAGTTTTCGGTTGAGCTTAATTTATTGTTTTTGCAATTTAGTAAAGGAGTCAATACAACACACGAACAAGGACCTTCACATTCCGAAGACTGGGCAAAGTATGAAAATTCGGTGTCGTTCGATTTGGTCACACCCTCTGGATTATGCACACACACGATGTTGATGTTCCGTCGTTCCCGCAGGACGAAAAGCCGAACCACCCGAGCACACGAACCCTGGCAGTGTGACCATCATGCAGGGATACAAATATTGTGTATTTATTTTTGAAATATTAAACATGCCAACCAGTTTAATAGTTTAAACTTGTTTCAGTCGAATGCTATCAAAACTATTTACCTAAATAATAACTACTTAAATATAGCTAATTAATTAATAATTAATAATATATCGTCTTTAAATTTCTTGAAGGGAGTTGAGGTTGAGTAGTTGAGGAGATATGTGCATTGTAAAATTAACATTATTGGTGAATCGACAATTTACGACTGTGCTACATTACGAAATAAAGTGTATTAATCTCCAATTCAAAGTTGCTTAAGAAATACTAAAATTTTTTAAAATGTATACCGTTTACGGTCACGCTGACTCTATTGTTTGGTTTTTGACTAGTGTGCGCCAATTTTCCACCCTCGAAAACCGAAAATATGACTTGAAGTTTTATAATATTGTAGGCTCTGCTACATTATTAGCATGGAGTTGGTTTTATTTTAGTTTAATTTTATGTATGACATTTTAATTTCCCGCCATATCGTAACGGAAAAAAATACTTTTAGTATCTCCAGCCCTGGAAATGTACTCCTGACTGTATTACTGTGATGGCTAAAATATTTGGCATTGATAAAAATGTTGAGCATATAAAATATAGCACACAGGTATTCCTTGAAAAGCAACAGTATTAAAAGTTAATTCAATTTATAAAATATATTTGGTTGGTGCCTAACATTTTTATTAACAAAATGTTATTATTTTGCTATAGGCATTACACATAATTAGCGACGCCAGTGTGTTAGGCGCGCTTTCCAACACTGTTGAGCGACTAGAGTGACCAGACCACCGAACCACATACGAAGACCCGTTGAAACGGCGACGAGCTTGTATGGACGAGTGGCGGACGGTCACCCACCTGGGCCAGCCACCTATTTTTTTCGAGTGCAAAATAACAAAAAAAAAAAAAACGAAAAAAAAAAAAATCAGTAGAAAAACAGGGCCATCAGCTTGAGCCCAAAATATAACAATTTTATGCGGTTAGCATCAACATGAGTGTGCTGCCGTTCATACGCGGCGTGGACTTTACCAAAAATGACTTCAGCGTGAGTATTTACACACATTGTTTTGCTCCGTTTCGGGAAAACGAGAGGCGAACCAGCCAGAAACAGGTCACCGTATTAAGGCGGAAAAAATGTGCATTAGTCATAGCCGGAGATTAGGTCCTGGAGAGTGTGTAAATGCGGACTAACATGTGCTGGCCCGTGGCCTTTCGTTGCAGGAAACATTCCCCAGCAGCATGCGGCAGATGTCGCGGGTGCAGTGGCTCACACTGGACCGCACGCAGCTGGCGGAGATACCCGAGGAGCTGGGCAAGTTGCAGAAGCTGGAGCACTTGTCGCTGAACCACAATCGGCTGGAAAAGATCTTTGGCGAGCTGACGGATCTAACGTGCCTGCGCTCGCTGGATTTGCGCCACAATCAGCTGAAGAACAGCGGCATACCGCCGGAGCTCTTCCATTTAGAGGAGCTGACCACGCTGGATCTCTCGCACAACAAGCTGAAGGAGGTGCCCGAGGGCCTGGAACGGGCCAAAAACCTGATTGTCCTCAATCTCAGCCACAACCACATAGAGATCATACCGACGCCCCTGTTCATACACCTCACGGATCTGATATTCCTCGATCTGTCGCACAATCGACTGGAGACCTTGCCGCCGCAAATGCGCCGGCTGATCAACCTCAAGTCCCTGGACCTCTCGCACAATCCCCTGGAGCTGTTCCAACTGCGCCAGCTGCCTTCGCTGCAGAGTCTGGAGGTGCTCAACATGAGCGGCACGCAGCGGACGCTCCTCAACTTCCCCACCGGCCTGGACAGTCTGGCCAATTTAAGCGAACTGGATCTGTCGCACAACTCGCTGCCGAAGCTGCCCGACTGCGTCTACAACGTGGCCACCCTGGTCCGGCTGAACCTCAGTGACAACGAGATCAACGAGCTGAGTGCGGCCGTGGAGCTGTGGCAGCGTCTGGAGTCGCTGAATGTCTCCCGGAATCAGCTGGTGGCCCTGCCGGCGGCCCTCTGCAAGCTGCCCAAGCTTCGGCGCCTCTATGTGAACGACAATAAGCTGAATTTCGAGGGCATACCGTCGGGCATTGGCAAGCTGGGCGCCTTGGAGGTCTTTGCGGCGGCCAACAATCTGCTGGAGATGGTGCCCGAGGGCCTGTGCCGATGCGGTGCTCTCAAGCAGCTAAATCTGAGCTGCAATCGCCTGATCACACTGCCCGATGCCATTCACCTGCTGGAGGGACTGGACCAGCTGGATCTGCGCAACAATCCGGAGCTGGTGATGCCCCCCAAGCCCAGCGAGGCGAGCAAGGCCACCAGTCTGGAGTTCTACAATATTGATTTCAGTCTGCAGACGCAGCTGCGGTTGGCTGGAGCCGCAGTGCCGCCATCCATGCCGGCGGCGGCGGCCACGCCCAAGGATTCAACCGCCCGAAAGATTCGATTGCGTCGCGGTGGTCCCCGCTCGGAGGGCGACCAGGATGCTGCCAAGGTACTCAAGGGCATGAAGGATGTGGCCAAGGATAACGAGGCCGGTTGCCTGCCCGAAGAGGCGGCGGGAAAACCCGAGTCGCTGAAGCCCAAGCGATGGGACGAGTCGCTGGAGAAACCCCAGTTGGATTACTCGAAATTCTTTGAGAAGGAGGACGGCCAGCAGCCGGGCCTGACCATCTGGGAGATCGAGAACTTCCTGCCCAACAAGATCGAGGAGGTGGTCCACGGCAAGTTCTACGAGGGCGACTGCTACATTGTTCTGAAAACCAAGTACGATGACCTCGGCCTGCTCACTTGGGAGATCTACTTTTGGATCGGCAACGAGGCCACCCTGGACAAGCGAGCATGTGCCGCCATTCATGCCGTTAATCTTCGCAACTATCTGGGCGCCCGATGTCGCACCATACGCGAGGAGCAGGGCGATGAATCCGAGGAGTTTCTGGCCCTGTTCGACACCGAGGTTATCTACATCGAGGGCGGACGCACTGCCACCGGTTTCTACACCATCGAAGAAATGATCCATATCACCAGACTGTATTTGGTGCATGCCTACGGCGCCACCGTCCACCTGGAGCCGGTGGCTCCGGTCTACAGCTCCCTCGATCCCCGGCACGCCTTCGTCCTGGACCTGGGCACTCACATCTACATCTGGCTGGGTGAGCGATCGAAGAATACCCTCAACTCCAAGGCCCGCCTTATGGCGGAGAAGATCAGCAAGACGGAGAGGAAGAACAAGTGCGAGATATTGGTGGAGCGGCAGGGCGAGGAGAGTGCCGAGTTCTGGCAGGGATTGGATATGACGCCGGAGGAGGTAGCCGCCGCGGAGCCGCTTAAGGAGCACGTTCCCGAGGACTATCAGCCTGTGCAGCCGCGCCTCTATCAGGTCCAGCTGGGCATGGGCTATCTGGAGCTGCCGCAGGTGGAGTTGCCCGAGCAGAAGCTCTGCCACACCCTGCTCAACAGCAAGCACGTCTACATCCTCGACTGCTGCACGGATCTGTTCGTGTGGTTCGGCAAGAAGTCGACGAGACTGGTGCGCGCAGCCGCCGTCAAGCTGAGCCGGGAGCTCTTCAACATGATGGACCGGCCGGAGTGTGCCTTGGTGATGCGTGTGCCCGAGGGCAACGAAATGCAGATCTTCCGCACCAAATTTGCCGGCTGGGATGAGGTCATGGCAGTGGACTTTACGCGGACGGCCAAGTCGGTGGCCAAAACGGGGGCCAATCTAACGCAATGGGCCCGCCAACAGGAGACTCGAACCGATCTGGCGGCTCTGTTCATGCCCAGGCAATCGGCCATGCCGCTGGCCGAGGCGGAGCAGCTGGAGGAGGAGTGGAACTACGACCTGGAGATGATGGAGGCCTTTGTGCTGGAGAATAAGAAGTTTGTCCGTCTGCCCGAAGAGGAATTGGGCCATTTTTATACCGGCGAATGCTACGTCTTCCTTTGCCGCTACTGTATACCTATTGAGGAGCCCGAGCCCGGCCAGGAGGATGGTGCGAATCCGCAGGACGACAGTAAAGCCAGCAATAGCAACCAGCCGGAGGACGAGATCCAATGTGTCGTCTACTTCTGGCAGGGCCGCAATGCCGGCAACATGGGCTGGCTCACCTTCACCTTCACGCTGCAAAAGAAGTTCAAGGCCATGTTCGGCGAGGAGCTGGAGGTGGTGCGGATCTTCCAGCAGCAGGAGAACCTCAAGTTCATGTCGCACTTCAAGCGCAAATTCATCATCCTGACGGGAAAGCGGAAGGACAAAGCCCTCACCGCCGACGGCAAGGCGCCCGTCGAGTTCTTCCACCTGCGTTCCAACGGCGGTGCTCTGACCACGCGGCTCATCCAAATCAATCCAGATGCAGTGCATCTCAATTCGGCCTTCTGGTGAGTGTTTACCTGGCTCCGGTACCAGTAGAGATCAGCTTTTGATAGTTTTGTTTTATATTTTCAATGATCTCACTCAAGTTTCTTGGCTTATCATTTCTGTCAATTTGAAATCCCATAAATATTTGAAGTCGTTCATTATATCTAAGAGATAACAACGTTTAAATGCTTTATCGCTTACGTTTGGTGTATATGTATATGTACATTCCGTACAGATAAACAATTTCAAATTATTAATCGATTTTTTAAAGAAATTTTTCAAATAAATCGATTATAATCGATTAAAATCAAAAACTGAAATAATTTACAAAAATACATTAGTAGGGTTTATTCAACATTTAAGCCATTTATTATTTATTTTCTTATATGACTTTAATTTTTTTTAGTAATAAAAATATTTAATATTAAAATATATTCTATTTTTTATTTGTTTATTTTATCAATTATTAATTAATTAATATATATATATATTTTTTTTAATTATTTATTTTCTAACGCTTTTTATTTTTATTACCAATTATTTAATTAATTAATACACCTTTTTTTATTTTTATTTTAAGCTATATACTCCATGTGCCATTTGAAACGGAGGACGACTCGCAGTCGGGAATTGTTTACGTGTGGATTGGCAGCAAATCCTGCAACGAGGAGGCCAAACTCATCCAGGATATCGCTGAGCAGATGTTTAACTCGCCCTGGGTTAGCTTACAGGTGCGCGTGGCTTTTGGGTTAAAAGGTTTTTAAATTACTTAAAACGAATAACTCTTCCCCTTTCGGCAGATACTCAACGAAGGCGACGAGCCAGAGAATTTCTTCTGGGTGGCGCTGGGCGGCCGTAAGCCATACGACACGGACGCGACATATATGGACTATACGCGCCTGTTCCGCTGCTCCAACGAGCGGGGCTACTATACGGTGGCGGAGAAGTGCGCCGACTTTTGTCAGGACGATCTGGCCGACGATGACATCATGATCCTGGACAACGGTGAGCACGTCTTCCTGTGGATGGGACCGCGCTGCAGCGAGGTGGAGGTGAAGCTGGCCTACAAGTCCGCCCAAGTGTACATCCAGCATATGCGGATCAAGCAGCCGGAGAGGCCAAGGAAGCTATTCCTCACGATGAAGAACAAGGAGTCGCGCCGGTTCACCAAGTGCTTCCATGGCTGGAGCGCCTTCAAGGTGTATTTATAATTTTAAGAAATTGAAGGAGCGCTCGGTTCTCCAAATATCAACAAGAATCGTAGTCTTAATGGTGTCCATTCGAGGGACTCTCTTAAATGAAAAGGTGCGCGTCGCGGTAGTGCCTAAAAATGCTCTTTTTTTCTGCACATATTTCATTTTGAATTTTTTTGAGACACGCCGAATTTTAAAAAATTTGAAGACAGTGCGCCATTTAAGTTGCAAATTTCTTCTCCTTTTTTTTTTGTAATTAAAAGAGGAGTGTACATTTAGTTTAAAAAAAAGTTTAAAGACCACCTGCAAGGTGCACACTTAATTTTAAACAATTAAAGAGCGCATCCCGGTTGTGGTTTTTGGGATGGGGATAGCCTGGGTTAGGGCAGCTGCCGTGACAGTGCAGTTGCCCTACACACATGACAAGAAAAAAAATGAGAACAGAAGCAAATAACAAAATCAAAATAACGCCCATCTAGATCGCGACAAGAACATGTTTGTACTTTTATAAAATGTATTTAATTGTTTTGTATAATTATTCTAATTTTTTATTAGCTCACTTGCTCCCCGCTCCCTAAATAATTAGCTAACGACTCCAACAACGCCAAGTATTCGCCCCACTCTTAACGAGAAAACCCTATACCTTATACATATATATATATCATGCATATATATATACATATATATATATATGTACACCTACAAATACGCAATATTTATATACAACATACGCTGAGCCGAGAGGATTACTCCTTGTGCTAGTCCTTTTAAAATGTTAACCTACTTAAAGCTAGCCTGTAATAAAAATCGAAAGAAAAACTAAAAACTAATTGTACAAATGCCCACGTATTTATTTTTTATTTTTATTAACCCCCCTCCTCCTTGAATAAACATATAGAAAAAATTTGAACTTGTAAGTTCGTATGTGTTTCTTCAGATACTTAACGAAAGGCAATTTAGGTTTGATAAGACCTAAAGAAGTAAGGATTCAAGAAATTAATTTTATTTGTAATAATAAAATAGCGTATACTGGAAAATAATCAAAAACCAGGAGGGATTCCGATTTTAAGGGATAAAAAAAATCGAAGATATTTCAGGGGGGATGGTAAGGTTAATTCGGTGCAAAAGATAGCTTAATAAATTAAATACCATAAAATAACACAACATTTGAACAATTTTTTAATTTTTTTGTTGTTAATTTTTGTTTAAAATAAATATTTAAAAATTTTTAAATAATTTTCCAAGTCCCCTCAAAAAAAAAAAAAAAAAAAAAAAGACCACAAAAAACATCCGATATAAAAAATCTATAATCTATTGCTTCGATTTTTTTTTATCAAAATTGAAAGTCAAAACCCCGATTTTTGACTAAAAAACTAATTTAATTTGGTAAATAAAAAATATAAGAAAATTTATAATTAAAAAAAAAAGCTTTATTTGATTACCTGTAAAATTAGTTAAAAAAGTTGTGTTTCAAATATCAAACCGATTGTTTCTGTAGATTTTGAGTTATCGTATACACCGATTTTCAAAATAGCATTTTTTAGGTGAGCCGTAATTGATGTAAAACTTGGACTCAATATTCTTAAAATATTGAGCCTTTAAAATTTAAAAATTTACAAATGCCTTAGTTATATATATAATATTAAATTTGTTCTACAATCATCGGATTCACTAAAAATATATTTATTTGTAGCCTAATTTAAACGATAGTTTGCATGTCTGCCAACTATCGATAAGGTACTGAATACGATAACCGACAAGCAGGCAGCCCTGGTCAGCGCTTGTTGTTTGTTTGTATGCGTGCGCGGCGTGTGTGTGTGCGGTGGCGTCGATGTCTTCGCTCAAAAAAAGTTTTTGTGCAGTTTTGCTGAATAAAAACGCGTTTCGCAAACGAAAAACCCAAAACCAAGCAACTTAAATGCTCCTCCAGTTGATAAACACATCTAAGACAGCCAGTTCATTCATTTGGCTCAATTTTCTAGTCGTGCCGTTTGATCGTGTGTGATTTTTTGTTTTTTTTTTTTGTTATAGTTTGTTTTTTTTTTTTTTTTGTGGGACAAAAAAGCGGCAAAGTCGACTGCTATTTTGCGACGTTTGTTGCCCAGAGACATGGAGCTGTTTGACATGGTCAAGGCAGCACCGCCGCCGCAGACAATCAGTGCTCCGGAGCGCACTTCACCGCCATCGCCCATCCCGCCCGATTCGCCGGATGCAATAGGTTTGTGCCATCAATGCGTGCCCCCGAAATATCCGTTTGCTGAAATTCTGCATGCCTCTCTCTTCCCCCCTCTCTTTCACCAAGCAGCCACCGACGCTGTCGACGACGCTGACCTCCTGCAGAGCGCGGTCAAAGATGAGGAAGGAAACAATGTCGAAGATAGGAAGTACTCACCCAAACGCCATATTGATTCTCCTCCTTTGCCCGGGCTAAAAAGTGATGAATCTTTATTTAAGACACCGCAGAACATACAAAAGTACAAGCAAGATGATATTAAGATCGATGAGGTGAAGCCGAAGACAGATGATGAAGATGATGTTGTACAACAAGTCGCCGGGGACAAGTCAGAGAACCTGGAGGGTAATGACTCGGATGGATCCTTAGATGGTTACCCAAAGACCTTACCGACCAAAACGAAGGCGCAGCAGAAGATGTTCAGTGATTTGCCTGATCAGTCCGCATCGCTCAGCTGCGTCCTTCGGGAATTCAGTATCCGCGTTCGGCGTCTCAAACAGTCAGAGATCGATTCTGCCTGCGCCTCGTTGGCCAAGTCAAAGTTTGCCTCATCTGAAACGCCCTCGCGTAAGCGAGGCAGGCCGCGTAAGAGCGCCGAGGACAAGAAATCTCCGTCTCCGGCAAAGAAACTAAAGATTTCGCCCACAGCCAAGATCCACATTAAAGTTCCTCTGCCGTCTGGGGCCAAAAAGAGAGCGCTGGCAAATCTGGCACGAACTCACACGCCGCCGCCCATCTTGTCCAGCCGAATCAAGGCGAAGCCCAAGCCCAAGCAAAAGCCCAAGGGACTCAAGGTCAGCCCGGCGTTGGTCCAACGCTATGGAAGGCGCGTCTTTAGCTGTGTGGTTAATGTCAAAAAGCTGAAGTGGCCAAGCAAAAGCGGGGAACGGCCGAGGCCCAGACGTTCCAACCTTTCGGTCTCCTTCAACGAGTCCGTCGAGATATTGGGCAGCAACGAGGGCAGCCCCAGGCGCTACACTTTCGGTGCAATCTCATCCAAGTCGCCGAAGCCCACGCGCTTGCAGCGCGTAGATGCCACGGGCAATGTTCTGGAGGACATAGCACTCACAGCGAATATGTTGGTGTCACCTTCGTCTGCCCCATCCGGTTCGCGGGGCAAGGGCAAGCGTCGCTCTTGCAACGGATCACCACAGCTGAAGCGCCCGCACCAAAGAATTCCACTGTCCGGCTTGGCCAGCCTCCGCCTGGACGATGGACCGAGGAGTGACGGCGATGACGATGAGGAGTACATAGGTGGGTGGTAAATTAAGCTAGAGCCCTACACATGGAGACAAATTATAAGGCTTAAAACATTTTTCTTTTTGTTTTATTTAATATTTTAAAATGAATTCATGAATTTTTCTAACAGGAAATATCTTAAGTGTCTTAAACAAAAACCCACAAAGATGTACGAAAATTAATATTTAAATTGATTCGAAAAGTTACTATTTATAAAAATTACATTGTCCTTGACTTTGAAAATGGTAACGAGCGACGAACGTTGTACCATATTTTTTGGACAACAACAGAAATTTGACTTCCTAACTATGTTTTAAGTTCACCTCAGAGATGAGGCACTGGTCATTCAAGCAAAACCGTATAATGCTCTCAGAACAATTCCGGCAATACGATATTTCCCATGAAATGCAGCCCCATGTATACATACATGTTTCACAGTATTACTTGTGTACCTAGGAATCAAAATCCTTGCCTTTCGGTCAAAGAGCATTTCCTTTCCTTGGTGCAAAAAATATTTCAAATTTCAATGGTTAATCCTCCTGGAACTAACTAAGCCATGGTGCTTTAAATGAAGATTTTCCAGGTGCTTCTCTAGTTTCAACAATGTTTGTTGGGGTTAACGTATTTGTAATACCTTTCTGATTCCGTTTTACCAACATGGAAATGGATTAATAGGTTATAAGGTTATATCTTAACTCTTGTTAAGATCTTGTTTAGTTATCCTAATACCTTATTTCTGAAATGTTTTGCTTATATATCCCAGCCTAAAAAGTTCTTTAAACACTAAAACAATACACAATTTTTCTCAACAAGGCTAATTTATTTTGGGAAATCGCCGAAACATAGTTTAAACTTATTAAAAAAGTAGAATTTTCTTGTATTATTTGAGGTTAAGGATAAAAAAATATTTAACAATTATTATTTTTTCATGTACCCAACACCCCATATGATTTCTGTTCTGTTTAGATAATAAAATGCATTTTATAAGTATTGTATATTCTGTGGAATATCCATTTATAAATATTTTCATGCAAAATTATTAAAATTGTTGACTTTAATATTGATAATGCCAGTATGCAATCGAGTTTTCTTTTCATATTTTAACCGGGACCTATATGGTATGGGATTCTCCGACCACATATCGTTGATCAGCATCATCAACCGAGTCAATTTAGACATGATCTCAGAGAATATAAGATCTATAGCTACTAGATTTGATGCCAACTATTTCATCTATTGCACGCGATCCATGGCTTACTTTTGTTTTTAAATTTAAAGTTCTGATATATATCGAATTTTGAGATCTGTTCTATTAATATGATAATCAGATGATAAACCATGGATAGTTATTACACAATGAAGTCCTTGTAAAGGTCTTATATTTTTTATTTAACTAGTTAACCTTATTTTATAGTCAACAAAATCGGAATCATGTTTAAATGTTGTGTTATTGTATAGTATGTATGTAATTTGTTAAGATTCACAAGTTTAATTCCATTGTTGTGTCGTTTATTCTTGGGAGCGAAGCAGAAAGATGTGGATTGTTAGGCAGGATACCAATCCTTGCCTTTGTCAACTCTGTCGCTTGGTAGTTAGCACAAAAGGGGTGTGGAATTTAATTCATAAGTACTGTAGATACCATGGAAAACACAATATTAAGTTGTTGTTTTTTTTTTTAGAGATTAAAAATAAAAAACCCGCAGCTAATACAACGATTATACTAACCATTTTACTTTCCATTTTTATAATCACATGATAAACCACAGTGCCCAACGAGCTGCCGGGTATGCAAAGACCTGGAACACCAACGCCGAAGAAAAAGAAAATATCATATACGACGACCATTAGCGACGATGAGGATGAGAAGGCACCCCCTCAAAAAAAACCCAAGGACGCCAAGGAAGCTCCCAAAAAGGAAGCAAAAACGAAACCGAACTCAAAAAAGGTAGAAAAGTTCACATCACTGAAGGAGAGCGTCCTGCAGAGTGTAGTACCGCAAGGTAAACCCAATGAGATTGTAAAGGGAAAGGAACAGAAGGAATCCGGTGATGTTCCGGGTAAAGACGATCAAAAAGATGCCGAAACGGAAGTTCAAAATGTGACGGAAACGACAGCAAATGACGGCGAAAAACCGGATACGCCAAGGCCAGTTGATATTTTAGAAGACAATCCACAGGAAACAGAAGAGGCTTCGACGGTGGAAACTGATGTGGGTGCTGGAGAAGAAAGTGTAGAGGAAAATGCTGATAAGAATTCTCAGGAGAAAACAAGTGTTGGTGAAACTACTGACAAGAAATCAGAGGAAAAGTCGAAATCAAGTGTTGGGGAAAATGCTGAAAAGAATCCTGTGAGGGAGTCGAAATCAAATGTCGAGGAAAATGGTGAAAAGAGTCCTGTGGAAGAATCGAAGGCAGCCGAGGAGGCATGTGAAACATCGGACATGTCAGCGCTGGAATTAGAGGAACCCAGCAGGCAACTCAGGGATGACAAAACGAAGCCAGAGAAAGTTGGCGACGTTGAGGTCTTTAGGGAGATGGATACACCGCCATCGCAGCCGCCGCTGCCGCTAAACTCAACTGAGGAGAATCCGGACGATGTTCTCGAAATCCAGACATCCCTCGAAGACGTCCGGGAGTTGCACACACCCTTCTCATCCCAGCAGAGCACGCCCCAGGCATCCAAGCGCGTACGCCTGGATTCCGGGGACTCGGACTGCAGCTTCAAGTCGGCCAATGAGCCGAACAAGGAAACTCAGCTAGAACATGGTCGAGGAGGTGAGGCAGTCGGCAAGGAAGACGCGGCATCTGGAGAGGACAAATCCATTATCGATTCCGCAGAGTTGATGACGCCGCCTAAGACGGTCAATGGCTGTGATCCGACGACCAGCGAGCCGACGGTATTTTACTCGCCCATCGAGGCCATGCCCACGCTAGATGATGAGGTCCTTGGCCAGTTAGTCGGTGAGTTGGAGGAGTGTCCTCGCTTTTTAATAGCATTTTATTTACTGCGATTTTCTTCTTTTAGAGCCCGACTTTCAGTTGAACTCCAGCCGCCATGCCATCTCTAGGGGAACTCTGGACGACATAATGACAGCTCTGGAATCTTAGGAGACAACCGACTCACGCTCAAGCATACACAAAAAGGTGATCACACAAGGAGATGAAACTGGCGCCTGCCCGCAGGACTGCTTTATATGGAACATACCTTTTTTTTTTAGTTGTTGTTGACGACTTTAAACCAAGAAGCAAAGGGACTCAATGTCCCAAAGTATTTGGTTAAAGGAACTGATTTCCGCTCAAGTCGTGTTATGAAGACACCCTTACTTTACATTATTTTTTAAGTACATTTAGTTGTCCTGCAAGCAGTTGTTTGTAACGAAATGCTAAGCTTAGCTAAGGAAGCAGCCAGCCAGGATCTAGTCGGCTAACCGGACGGAAGACCAACAAAACTCACACACACAGACACCCGAATTTACAATTTAGCGTAAATTCAGTTGAGTTTTCTATTAAAATTAAGCGCGGAATGAATTAGAAGTGAAAATATCCATGTATATCTGAAGGGATCGTTATGTTAGTTATATGCCTAAAGAAAGTACATTGTATCAATTTGTTCAAGTTCAAATTGTTTTCAACTTTTTTTTTATCAAAAGGAACATAAACTTAATAGAATCGATAGCATATATATCATATACATATATATATGTATATGTATATTTATATATAAACGGAAACATCTTAAACTAGTTGTACATTTATGTAATTGAAACAATGAGCGAAGTAATGCCCATGTGTAAATGTATAAAGAAACAAAACCAAGTGGACAAAATACAAACTCTGAGAAGTTGTTCTTTTGGGGGCGGAAAAACAAGGTATTCAGTGGGGGAGAACTTCAAGGAATAGCTTAAATACATATAAGGATTGGTAAAGACCTAAGAAGACAAGCCTTCGTGAGAGAGAATAAATTGAAAACGGGTTATTAGAGTATATAGTTGTGAGAATTCGAATATTTTATTACATTATTTATAGCAGCTTAAATCATACAGCGTGTTTTAAGGATTGGTTTCAAGGAGCCAATGGATAAGTATAAAATTGGCGGGAGAAACAAAAATAAGATGGGACAGCGGCATTTTCAAGGAGGGCAATGAAGTTGCCACCTTGTTTTCAGATTCTTGCCATACTTGTTTTGAGGCTAATTTATGTTCTTTGGCGGTTTAATTTTGAAAATATTTTGATATTTTTATTAAAAAATATGTCAAATACAAAAAAGAAAGTTAAGCTTCGGCATGTCGAAGTCGGTATATCCTTGCAATTTGTAATTGGTTCACAAAGATTTATTTGAATAGAAATACATATTTACACATAGTTTGCAATAAGTTGGCTTAGATTAAATTTAAAAAAATTGAGTATTTCTCTCAATTCACTTTCTATAAAGTGCTCAAATAATTTATTTTTCTGCACTCTCAAATATATAGCCAAGATTTAATTGTATTATTTACTTGAAACAATATTTTGGAATACTTCTGTTCGGTTTTCAAGCAACGCTGCCAGACTTTTGCAGCCAGAGTGGCCACCTTGGCGAGCGGACGTGGCTGCTTGGAGCCATGACCCATCGCAGTCACAACAGTCGCAACTTTGACTTGTTGTTTGGCGGTCGTTCTCCCTCCGGCTGGATCCTGGGACCGTGTGTCGTGGACATCGGGCTTTTGGCGCGTGTGCGAATTAATTTTGAAAATTGTGGAATTTTGGTGGGCCGGAAAATGTTTGACTCGCAGAAGCGAAGAGGGCCCGGTCCCTAAGCCCCAAATGAAATAATTAAATTGTAATTATAAAAAGTAAATAGATAGAGTTCGGGGAGTTCGGGGTTTTTTTTTGGTGAAGCAAACGAGCGAGAATTGCAATTGAGAATGCCCATCAAGAAGGTGGCCGTGAAGGAGTACGACTCCCAGGACGAGGCCAGCACCGAGCTGCTGGAGAAGCTCAAGCACCTGGACCGCCGTGTGGATGCCGCCGAGGCGGGGGGCATGGCCGGCGGACGGAGGCGGAACACCGCCTGCTGGCAGTCGGTCAAGTGGAAGTCGGCCCTCAATCACATCGGACTGCTCGTCTCGCTGTCCATCTACTGCGGCGTGGGCGGCCTGGTAAAAACGTGTTATCCACTAGACCCGAACATAACTAAACAAATATTTAATTATTTCTGCTATTATTTTTTTCTTCTTCGGTCTTTGGTCTTTGGTCTTGGATCTTTTTTATTTTTATTCCTTTTTTTTTTGTTTCTTGGCTGCGGCGAACATGCAAAATGATTTGTTTGTTGGCGAGCGTTAAGGCTGTTTTGGGGGAGAAAAAAAAGATAGCAGAAATATACACACATGAGTACAGTGCATAATCAAAAGGGCTGATTTTATATTAATTTTGGAAACCAGGAAAAGAAAACATAAATTTGAAAAGTAAATAATGATTAAGGAAGTGCTAGAGTATAAAACAGTTCTTAAAAAGCTTATTTAATTGGCAGCAATCTTATTTGTAAGCTAATATTGCTGTTTAAAATTCGGAATATTATTATAGAATTATAAATATGGAAATATAAGAAAGCTTACATTTGTTAAAATTTTGTTTTAAATTAAAAAAAAAAATATTTATAAATAAAACAATATTTCCCTAATATTTTTATGAAATAATAAAGCATTTGTTAATTTTTCCTTATTTGAAAGTTGAAATAAATGATTATTTCTATTAAATATGTGAATATACAAAATTATAAATTTGTTTATGTAATTCTTTACGACACTTTTTTGTATTTTTTTTTACCAAAAGTGACCTTTTTTTAAAAATCTAAATAAAATTATGTATACATAAAACTATGTTTCCCTAATATTTTTATGAAATAATAAAGCATTCGTTAATTTTTTTATTTAAATTAAAAAATGGAATAAAATTATATATAAATAAAGTATTATTTTTAAGAAACTCTAAAAATAATAATAAATTGAATTAAAAAAAACTTAAACTTGAATAAGGGAATATGCTATTATATTATATTTTATACCTCTAGGAAAATATTACATTTTTTTCCAAAATAATAATACATTTTTTACATTTCCTTATCATTTTTAATGAGTAAAATTCCCATTTAAAAATTCTAAATTAAATTATAAATATATAAAGCACATTTCTGTGTAAATAATAAACATTTATTATTAGCTGTTGACTTTTTCGAACAGTTACTGTACAGGAGTAAAAATAAAAACCAAAGCACAAACACAACACACAAATGTATTGCAGTGAAAATACTAAAAATTAGCTCAAAATTAAGTCATAAAACTATTTTGTACATTTAAGTGCACCGCCTTGCACCCCTGCTTCTTTTCTAATTGCCAATGCAAATCCAGACGGAAAATATGGAAGGGTGGCTAAGGATGGGGTGGAGACGGAGACATCTGCATCATGTGCAGGAGGTGGAGATGGAGGAGGAGGAGGAACCATGTGTGACCGTGGGAACGATAGAGGGTCCAGGGATTTGGCCGTGCGCCGTTAGGCCTTGTCTAAACATTTACAATTTCGCCAATGACGTCGTCGTTTTTAGCCAAAAAAAAAAAAAAAAAAAAACAAATTGCAAATTGGGAGAAAAAAAAAATAGTAAATACCATATAAACACAACACCGCACAGTGGCCCAGTCAGTATTTGAACTTGATGCCGTCAGTTGTCCTTCTGGCTGCAAAATAGCTGCAGCTGGCTGACGATGAAGGAGGTGCCTTTAATTGATGTGTCCCACGATTTGACATATGGTCGAGTGTCGTGCCGGCAAGGTATTTGTTATATAGCCTCTCAATTTCCTCAGGCCCTGGCAATTACTATGGGGGGGAGTCGTGGTCAGAAGACACACATACTACCTGCAGAGTCTAGGGTCTAAGTCTAGAGGCGGGCAAAAAGAAAAGCCCATCCAATGGTCTGAAGAAAATTACTAAATTGGGTGCTATCACTTGAGGTTGTATTTCAATTAGAAAGGATTCAAAAAATGATTTAAAATCTAGCTTAAAAGGCGAGATTTCTTGGTAAGAAATATGTAAACTCTTAATTTATAAACCTGTTATTTGTATTGTAAATAATTCAATACCATGCATTTTGAAGGACGGAACCTACATAGCTCTTGAATGTGCTGCCAATCATGATTTATGTCCATTGCCATGGACTTGCCTTGGCAACCGAATGATTCATAAGACGCCTTTAAATTCCTGGATATTTCTGGACTATATCAAATTGTCTTCTTTCCTCCACACCCCCTTCTACATAATGCCAGCCCTATCAACACCTCGCTGGATATATATATGTATCTGGCCATTTGCGCAGATTTCAGGCAACAAAAGCCATGCATTAATCAGGCCACACATTCGCATTCATTTGGATGTTCCCAGGAATCGAATCCCTCCTCCCCTTGAGTTTGGACCAGATTTATCTGACCCTTCAATCTCTTTTGGCCACACACATAAGCACGCACCACATGTTGGCCAATTATGCGAACTTCTCACTTAAACGGCGCATCAAATTCGTTTTAAAAATACAAATTTTCATGGGGCCATCACCATCATCACCAAAATCTTTTTTTATCCGCCACAAATGGAAAGCTACAAATTCGTATTTTATTGTATTTCAAGTTTGCTATATCGGGTTCGATAAATACTATATATATGGGTACTTACAGATTGCAGAAGTGGACATTTGAAATTATTAAAAAATTGTTATTATTTTCTTTACCTAGAAGCCTTTTCTTTTCTGTTTCAGTTTAATATATATTTTTTATAAATATTGAATTATTTATATGAAATCTCCTAAGTGATTAGTCAAAAAATCCTGCAGTAATATTAATAATATATGGCATTTTGTATTCAAAATATATGCTAGATATAATCCTTAATATTAATATTTAGAAAAGTCTCACTCTCAAGTTAACATTATTTTAGATTTGCAATTTGATTTGTTCAATGTCATTTTCATTGGCGCTCACTTAACCCTTATGCTCACCCCCTTAACCCACCTCGAAGTGTCCAGCTGCTGCCAAGTGAAGCGGAAATGAATCCTGAAACATGAACGGAAGTGTCCATATCAGCATATCACATGACATTGAAGTTTTTTGTGTTTTTCTACCGTTTTTCTAACAATCTTTCTCACTTTTAATACCGTGTACTCATAGGATATAGGGTTGTATATATTAACAGTGCCTTAAGTAAATAAATTAGATTTATAAATTAAAGAAATAAATTGTTTTTAACAAAAGAAGGGAAGATCATATTAAACAAATAACTTTATAAATATTAAAACTTAAATATTAAAATTAAACAAATAAATAAAGATCTGACTACTGGGTATCTCATAGTCAATTAGCTCTTTTATATTTTCTTGTCTGCAGCGGAAATCACTTTGTGTCACTTGACCAGCGACAAAAAAGTTTTTGGTCTCCTTACCCTTTTTTTCTGAGATTCGTTTTAAGAAAAGTTTGCTGGCAAACAGAAACTGATTATTTATATATATAACAATTATTTTCCTAAATTTAAATTATCTCCAAGGTTATAAATAAAATAAAATAAGTACTGTAAAAGTATTTAAGCTCTCAACTTTTTCTAACGAGCTGTCACCGGCACTTCACCACATGCCGTCACCTTTTCGCCATTTTTTATAACAAAAAAAAAAGGTTAAACTAAAGATAAGCCGCTTTAAGTTGAAATCAATTTTTGTCAAGAGCATAAAACACAAAGTTGTAATTGCTTTTGTTGACGAACTCGCTTTGAAGGAATTGGCATTTATCTATTTTATGGTCTGTTGTTGTTGTCACGGGCAAG